TGTGTGTGTGTGTGTGTGTGTGTGTGTGTGTGTGTGTGTGTGTGTGTTTGCAGGCGCGGAGTGCTTAAGGGCTTTGGGGGCCATCCCAGGGAGAACGCCGGTGTGGCCGCTGACCACCTAATTAACTGCTGAGGGGTGTTCGGTTTTGCCTTGTGACAAAGGCTGGACGTGGTCTGTGCCTCTAAGGAGCTATTTTCTGCTGACTGACAGCACAGGGCATTAAAAATGTGAACTTTGTCTTAGACCAGCATTCCTAGGAACGTATCTGCCCAAGCGACTTAACAAACTTATTTTAAATCCCTGAAGCGTTTAAAGGCTGTTTTCTTGACGGTTGTAAGCTAGTTGGAAGGATTAAGTAAGAATTCAAGAAAAAGGGCGAAAAGCGTGTGAAAACCTTGGCGCCCCAGTCAATGTAGCGGTTTTCTTTGCAGCATAGAGCAGAGGCTGTTATTTCTTCCTGTTCCCTCTCCTTCACTTAATCCCGAGCTCGGAATTCTGCTCCGTAGTAGGTTTCAGACGGGAGCTGCTTGAATCCAAAGGGAAATTTAACTGGATTCAAAGAAGCTGGACGCTATCTCCACCTCCGGGCACCCCCACACACACCCTTTCCTCTTTCTTCTTAGCTTGTGTTTGGAAGGAAGGGGAGCCACTGTAAACCGAGAGGAGCAGAAACGAGCCTCCAGACACATGGAAAGATTTAAAAATTATGAAAGGGGCAACTTCATGAATAGTAAATGTTGCTGTAGCTCTATAAAGTGACTTGATGAAAATATTTCTGGCCCTCATAAGGCAAAGCCAAAGCAGGAGCATGAAGGGGGACCAAGGCAGATACAACTCCAACGTAAAGTAGGGGCAGAAAATTTGCCAAAATGTCTCATAGATACCTGGTATGGGTACTGGAATGGTCCCGCTGAGATGCATAATCCATCTTTCTTACAATCGTGAGGCCTGGGCTCTGCACCCAGAAGGATTGACTGACTGTTCCAAACGAAAGAAAGAGCTAGAATTCAGGACTTGCTGCTACGAACTGGCTTGTCAAGGTGATCCCCCATCCTGGCTTTGGCTGCCTTACTCTATCTAGCCAGGTACCCCACCCACCCAGGCATCTACCACTTCACTCCCTTTAACTGAGGCAGAGCACACACCGGAGCTGAAAGGAGTTAACTGGCTTGAGAATTAGGGCGTGTTGGGAATTTAGGCTTTCCTGAGGAAAACATCTTGGTGTCCCGGAAAAGCAATGCTACAGCGAACGAAACTCAGAAGGTGAGACAAGCAAGACCCCTTTGAGAAAGGAGGTATTGTGACCTCTTCAAAGGCATATTCCAGACACAGACCGTTTCTTCCGTATTCTTTGTCACTTTGGCCTCAAGTTCACTGGATTCCTCTGCTTCTTACTAATAACAAATCCCTTCTCTCCCTACCGCCAACGCCAGCCCTTTAGTGCAGTCTTTACCCTAGAAACCGTTTGTTTCTAGGCTGGTATGTTCTCTCTTTCCCCTGAAGTCCTAGAGAAGGAGCCCCAGACCTTGGACACGCCTGGCAAGCCACTGAGCTGCTTCCCTAAGCCCTGAGTAGATGCTTTCCTCTGCACCTCAGTCTAGATTAAACTCACCAGCCTCTCGCCTCTGTCCCCTGCGTGCTAGGATTATAGGTAGAGGCCACCACACCTGGCTAAGCTATGCCATTTTAACTGTGGCCAGACCAGAGAGATAGTGGAGGAATGGGAGGAATGTCTTCTTCCTTAGCCTCTAGTGCAGATGTGTTTATGGGACTGGTAATGCTGACACCACGGTGGTTTATCTCCACCTGAGGACGTGAAGGGCTGGGAAGGTAACCACAGCGTTGCTTTTAGGCCTTGCTGGTTTGTGAAGAAAGAATTGAACACAGAGGTAGGTTCATTCATTCATTTTTTTTCTTTCTTCCTTCCTTCTTTCCTTTTTTTTCTTTTGACGTTTTGAGGCAGCAGCTCGATGCATTTCTCTTCCCAGGCTGAACTTGAACTTCTAGTCTTTTGGGTTCTGAAATTATAGGCAAGCATCACCCCACCTGGCTCAGAGTCTGGATTTATGCTAAAGACATATATAATTTTAGGGGTTAAAGTCTAAACTCCTATTCTTCAGGCCTGTTTTATTGCCTTATTCCACAGGTTAGATGGATTTTAGCTGGCTTGCTGGGAGTAAGGGGTATTGATTTTAAGACACTTATTGGGCATGGTGATGGTGTAAAGCCTTCTGGGAGCTGCTGACCAGTTGGTCTGGTTTGCTCAGCCATATCCCTGTTACCTAAAACTTAAAAGACAAGGAAAACATGGCTTGCTGGGTGGCTTGTGGCCCCCAGGAAACACTGTGGGAAGCTGCTCTGATGAGACCATGAGGAAGTTGCTTCTTCGTTTCTCTCCTAGTCTGAGCCTAAGCCCACTACTGCTGTGATCAAGCTAACTTGGAAACTCCATGTGTTTCTTTGCCTCCTTTTCCCCACTTGGGGGGATTAATCATCCCTTTGCTTGAAGATAAAGCGGGGATGTTGTCATGTGTGAAGGCCGCTGAAAAGAGTTCACCAGGGGCATAAGATGTCCCATCTGGAAGAGTGGCAAGGGGACTGGCCTGGGGGTTATATAACTGATCTGCCCTATAAGGTTTCCTACAGTGGACAGAATTAGAATGGGAAGTAGACTGGCAAGGTGAAACACCCGAGGAGCAGGATATGGGTTTTTGGTTTGGTTTGGTTTGGTTTGGTTTGGTTCTCCCTGGAGTTGTAATAGTTACATAGTTGAAGTGCTGTTACAGAATTGCAGAGGCTGGCCCAAGTCTCATTTAGAAGACAGTGTTTCCGTGAGATAAGTGTGTTTAAGGGAAACCCAAATTATGGGAAGATATTCTAAAGGGTCAGTTAATCATGTCAGTCAGAAGCAAACTGTCAGGTGTCTTCTTAGAGACAGTCCAAAGTCCTGCTTAGGGGTACAAATGATGCTGGATGTCTTAAAGGGTCAGCAGTTCATGCATTCATCTGCTAACTGCTGTCCATCCATCTGCCAACAGCACAGTTGGGTGGTGGTTAAAAGTATCTGCACCATTACTTAGTAAAATGGCCTTGGGCACACAGAATAACTTTGGTAATTGTGTTTTCTTTTCTGAGGAAGAACAATAGTACTTAGGGACACTGGGAAGATAAATTAATCTATATCTTTGGAATACTTTATCGGTTTATTTCTGCCCCCTGAACAACTGGTGACTTTGTGAACACTGAAGGCGATTGGAGAATTTCTTAATCAAAACTGAACACCATTCCCCCTATCTGAAAACACTGTTAATCATTCAAGTACCCGATACTAAGGGAGCTTGTACGTTTGCTCGAGTTCACGCTAGAACAGACAGTTACTCTCTGTTCTCAGCGTGGAAGCCTGCGATTTGGTTTGGTCAGAATGACCTCTGGTCTCTTTTCAGTCTTCCCCGCACTCTCTCAGACTCCCTACAGAGAAAGAATGATCCTTCTGGAGTCAGCATTCTAGCCGAGGAAGTGGGAAAGGGAGGGACCACCCTGACTGAACTAGTGACTAGGCCAGGACATTGGGGCCCCGTACTATCATGGCCCACATAGCTGGGCAGGTTGCCATGGTTATTCCCTTTCCTGCATCTTTCCACCACCCTGGGAGGAAACTTGCCTCTCTAGGGCAAGCAGAATCAGAACAAATTGCTTCCTGGACTAAAAATGGAAGTTACTCAGGAAAGAAGAATCTCTCTCTCTGCTCGTACCCTTCCCTCACCCCTCAAACTTATTCTAATTCCAGTACAAACCTTTTAATCGTTGCTAGCTCCTCTACACCATCTAGATAACAAAACATGCTGGCTCATAACATTTCAGTTACTACTTCAGGATGGAAGTTGCTTGGCGATTTCTGTCCCTCTTCTAACCTTCTCAGACTAGCTGGGGACAAGTGACCTATGGCTGATGTAAGGTGGTAAGAATTCTCAGTAACGGGGCATGCCAGCTTAATGTTTAGTTCTAGGGAAGTGACGAGGAAGCAGAAAGTATGACGACCATCTCAGATTTTCAAGAAATGTCAAAGAAATGGGTAAGGGAAGAACAGGAAGTAAGAATTCTAGAATGTTGTCTGTAATACTGTAAGAGGTAAGACTGTGTTGCCAGGGTGGAGCAGGCGCCTCTCTGTATAAAACCCTGGATTCGACCCCCAACGCTACAGAAATGAAAGAAAAATGAAATTAAAGTGCTATTAAACCTGGAAGAAGCTTGAGAGAGAGGCAGAAGGTTTAAGATGTTTCTCTTGGTAGAAGCTAGTCTCATTTTCCTTAGTAGTATGATGGAAAGCATGGGGCTAAAACACACTAGGGTCTTCAGAGTACATACACACCGCTGTTTGTAAGCAGATTTGTAAAAGCCGAAGCCGTCCTCTCGGGATTGGGCACTTGATGTATGTTTCACAGCTAGAAGGAACTTTCCTGAGACAGTTTCGCAGAGTGAGGTCTTTCTCCACTCCGGATTGATTGAACCAAGATGGCAGGAGGCTTTGCCCAGTTACATTCTACATACCTTTTAGTTGATCTAAGAGTAACGTTTGTAATTCTGGCTTGTCTTTGTTGTTGTTGTTGTTGTTCTTTGTTTTTTGTTTTTG